AAAAAATTAGGCTTAACTGTCCTCGACAATCGAGAGCAAGAAAAAAGAAGATTGGTTAAGTACTTTATTTCTTGTTTTTCATATTTATTCTTTATTTATTACTATAAAAGAAACTAAAATCTAAAAATATGGATCTTTTTAAGTTATTTAAAACTAGATTAGGTGAAATAAGTAATAATAATAATAATATAATTAAAATGGTTCACGAGGCACACATGCAAGCGGCTTGTTGTAGCTCGTGGGTAATGTAATTTGATAGCGTAAAGTGACCTGGACGTTCTCTGAGTGATTTATAACCTTTTATGGCACAGATAATAGTTAGACATGGTTCAGAGGGCAATAAAATAATAACAATTATAAATAGATGTATAAAGTTACAAACTTAGAGCTACTTAGAATAAACGAATGTAGTTTCATTTTACAATTTGAAGTCATTCTAGAAAAAAAAAGGGTAATTTAGGTTTATTTTAATTTTTTTTTTGTTGATTATGAGGTCAGTTGAATTGACCAATTCCATTTCGAGATAAATCGAGAAAATAACAGATAAACTATAAAGTTTTAGTGAAAAAAAAGTGTTTGAAATGCATTTAGGAGGTTTTATGGATTACACAAAGGAAATTTAAAATTTTTCAGATGAGGAAAAGTATTTTTAATTTTAACTTGAAAATTACTTTCCACATGGAATATTCAAAAAAATACTCAGTATATTAATGGACAAATCATTATTTTATTTTATTAAAAATATGATTTTTTTGTGTATGTGAAAGACTTGTAATGTTAACTGAAATATTGCCAAATTTCGTGAAGATATACACACTATTTTGAGAGTTATAAGTATTAAATCTGTAAAGACTTTAAATGAGTACAACAAGGTCACATGGTTGGTCAAACTGACAGAGCCCATATTGAGAGAGTTAAAGCAGTAAACCAATACATTGGTCCATTTCATTCCAAACTACTTCTATGTTAATGTGTCATCAGAATGCATTAGGCTATTTCTTGGACACTTCACACAAATATTATTTGGTTAAATTTGTTTGATCAGTATTTTGACCTGGTTATTGCATGATAGGTGGTAGCTTTTAGCACAATTAATTTTTGATCAATGACTTAGTGTGATGCTTCAATACTTCAATATTCCAGCATGGTGTTTGAGTGAAAGTTGATTTTTAATTTTTTTTTCATTGGTACAAACTATTTTAAGTGTCTGTCCATAAATTAAATGAGAAATGTTAGGTGCATTTTGGATGTTTTAAAGTGCTAATAGAACCTAGGTGCCAAAGATTTTTACAGCTTGCATCATAATATTCCTTGAGGATTAACCGACTTATTTTCTGTTATAGTTACTTTCCATTTTTTAAATCACCTTAATGAGTACTGGGAATCCTTGAGTACCTTGTTCTCACTTTAAGAACTCTTCTACTTGTTTGTAACTGCTATTGTCTGTGAACGTTTTTTAGAAGATTAAGCCTTTTGCATTGGCTAAGTCAAAGTGCGCATGTCACAACCTTTTACAGAATTACATTCAACGTTTATTTACACTATATTATTAATGTGTACGAATAAACTGGGCATCAAAACATAGTTAATAAATTAATTTTTAATATTATATAAGTTTTAAATTCTCAATTTGATAAAGAAATATTTTTAAAAATCCTCAATCTTCCCTAGTGTGAGAATTGTGACATTTGCTCTCTAGGTCTTCTATCTTCTGTAAATTATTTACCACTAGTCCAAGAAGTACAGAATTTTACATAAACTTTTCATTATAATATAGGTATTACTCAAGCAAAGCATAATTTTTATAGCCTTCAATCTTACTTGTTTAAGAAGCCATAAACTAGAAAATGAGACCCACTTGCTATGCCCACCTGTCACATCCTCTCTTTCACAAATTGCCAATAGTTCTTTCTGACATTTTATATCATATTTCTTATAACCAATAGAAAGTCAAAGTTTTAATCTATCAAATGACTTACTATATTCCATTGTTTTCTGTACAGGGAATTGTGTGTTGTGTGTCTAATTTGAAACTTTTCCCATGGGAAATACATTGACAAGCTTATCTGAATTTTTAATGGCTCTTATCTCATAGTTAGAAAGCCAGAAAAATTATGATAATTATAGTACATTGTTTGCTTTTTATGTGTTATTATTCTGTGTTCTTAGGTGCATTTTATAGTTAAATAAAAATTATTTAGTGTAGTAGTAGTACCATTGGTATAAAAAAACAGGCTTAAGTTTCATCAACAGCAAAAAATAAGAAGGCTAATGTAATTACCATATTTCTGATTTTTCATGTATACTCATTATTTATTATTATAAATATAATTAAAATGTAAAAATTAAAAACCTATTAGGTTAGATTAGGTAAGATAACAAATAATAATAATGTATTCTTCATGAGGTATGCTTGCAAGCAGCTCGTGCATTACATAATTCAATACAGTAACATGAGCTGCATGATTGCTGAGTGACTTACAACTTGTGTGGCAGGATAATTTTTATCAGTAAGATACATTTCAAAGGTCAATAAAACAATAAAATTAAATAGATGTACAGTGTTACAAGCTTTAAACTATTTAGGATAAACAATCGAGGTTTTCTCTTATAATTTTGCAGTCATTCCAGATAGAAAAAGGGTAATTTAGATTTATTTTCTAATTTTTATGGTGGTTATAAAGTTGGTCAAATTGACCAACCCAGTATAGAGTTATAATATAGAAACTAACAGGTAAAATATAATGTCTTCATTGAAAGAACGTTTAATATTTATTTATGAGGTTTTCTGGATTATGCAAACAACATTTGAAAATTTTCAGATGAAGAAAATTATTTTAATCTTAACATGAAAATCACTGTGCACTCAGAGCAGTCAGCACTCTGACTCCATATAATTACAGACAAACTTTTAACAAAAATACTTAAAATTAAAAGTTCTGATTTTTTCTCTACAAAAGACTTGATGTTTAATGAAAGCTTGGAAAATTTTGTGAATATATATCAAATACTTTCAGAATTATAGTATGTATACCACTGTGGTTAGATGGTGGCTAAAAGGTCATGTAAAATATGCAAGCCTGTTGCAAAAGTATTAA